GGTGAAATGCAAAGGTAAGAAGAAACCCGTCTTGTTTTTCTCCCTTGCACATTTAATAGTTAATATTACTGCGGTTTATTGCTGTAGAATAAATCTGCAGCTTCCAGATTTAGGAGTTTCTTTTTGAATGTCTTTAGATTTCCCCTTGTGCGCTCATAAGCCGTCTCTTTATTCACGGTTGTTGTCGCTGTAGAACAGCACTGACCTGTCGCGTTTCCCTTCAGCTTCCCAAAACCTCAGTTCTCCAACTGGCTATTAGAGCAGGTGGAAACGGGCCAGTATGCTGGCCTGTGCTATGTTGCAACAAACAAGTTCAGAGTCCCCTGGAAGCACAACTCCAGAAAAGACTGCAGTGACGAGGACAGTAAAATCTTCCGGGTAAGTTTATTGCCAGATTAACCTTTGTTATCCGTGCGATCAGATAAAAGGCTTAAAATGACTATGTTGACATTTTTACTGAAATAATAAGCTACTACATTCATGAGTAAGCGACTTACAAACTAAGCGTGTGCTTTAAATAGTTCCAAAAATAGTTTTGTCGTGTTATTGTTACTATCAGGCTGGAGTTGTTTGGCTTGTTGCAGCTGTTCCCAGAGGCAGTTATGGCATACCATCTCTAGTGGTGACACTTGATCTTGAGTCAAAGAAATCCTGTACTAATGTTTTTGATACATTTGATGTGCAAAACCACAGCTTGTTTTCATACTTAGAGCACAATTATTCGCTGGTGCCAGTATTAAAGGAATTCTACAGATTTCAGCCAAGTGTCTAAATCTTCCATAAACAGCCACTTCTTCTTAGATGTGAAATGCAAATAGTGTGTAACACAATTAGGAGGTGCATGTGAAGTCTAATGTGTGTAATTATCTCATAAAATGTATAGTAAGTCTGAATTTTCTACCCGGCTGTCATTATGTTTACACCTCTCGGCGTTCCTCCATAGGCCTGGGCAGTAGCAAGTGGGAAAATTAATGAGTTCCCTAATGACAAAGCCAGGTGGAAAACCAACTTCCGCTGTGCTCTGAACAACCTCTCTGTGCGCTTCAAGATGGTAAAAGATAACTCCAAGAATTCTGATGACCCACATAAAGTCTATGAGGTTATCAACACTGCACGTAAGCTAATTGTCACTTAGGCCAAGATCCTGGGGTAAAACCGTTCCGAGTTTGAATGTATAAATAACGCTGATCTTTCATCTTTCCCTGAAGAAAACCAAGACGGTCTGGCAACACGCGACCCTTGGGAGGGCAATGACATTATACCAGATATATACAGCTCTTCCACAGAGTACCTCCTTTCAGCAAATGAGGTTCAGCATCACATAAAGCACATTTTCACTTCTCTTTGTTGGTGTAATCTCACTTGTCTTTGTGCTTCTGTCTAAAAATTAACAGTTTCACTGCCTCTCCCCAATAAACAGCATGATCTGGTTAACGATTTGATGGCCTTGGGTCTTGGCAGCCAGCCAACAGGTAAAGTTTGTCGATTGCATTTGGTTTTCTGTGGTTTATAATGGAGGTTAATTGTAGTTTAAAATGATTTTACTGTCAAAACAGAGGAGCAACTGTGGACAGAGAACTATGGCCAGCAAAATCCACCCGCAACTGAAAGCTATCCTGTAGCAGCCGGAAACAACCAACAGCTTATACCAGTTCAGCAAACCTGTTATGGAGGTATGTTTATACAAATTTATCTTCCTAGATGAAAGGTTTACTAAAAATATGTGTACATAGTTACCCAAGAAGGAGGGATCTGTTGTCTATTAACTGTTTTGTTTTGTACAGTAACTCCTGCACCAGTACCTCAGCCGGGGCTATTTGACCTAGAGGTATCCATCCACTACAGGAAAAAAGAAATGGTAAAGATGACTTTGAACACTCCCAAACTGCAGCTTCACTACAACTCAGAGGCCCTTGAGTATGACACATTCAAACTCTGCTTCCCCTCCACTGATGGTCTGCTGGACCACAAACAGGTATAATCATTGCATTAGCTAGATGCATGTTTTACACAGTTGTACCATCCAAGCAGACACTAGAAATTATTTTTTATGTTACTTCAGGCATGAAGCTGACAGATTCTGATGTGATAAATAAAATTTGACTTTAGAATAGGACAGATGGATTTTACCCCTAATTTTAGGTACAGTATACTGCTGTGTGATGAAGCATTTTCATGTTTTACTCACCACAACCTTCTTATTACTAGATTGAATACACCAACCGCATACTTAATAGCATCCAGAGAGGTCTATTCTTGGAAGTGCGAGAAACTGGTATTTATGCCTGGAGGCAGGATAGATGCCATGTGTTTGCCAGCACCAGTGACCCTAGTTTGGCTAATGCAGAGCCAGCAAAGCTTCCCCAAAACACCATGGTGGAGCTCCTTAATTTTGAAAAGTTTGTGAATGGTAGGTGTAGATCTTTGCTCATTTATATATTTGTATATACACCATATACTGTCTGTGAAGGTTCTTAGTCATCTAGGTCATCATAGTCTAAGGAGCTTGGAAAGAAAAGCGTCTGGGCTTCTTTGAGTTGCTTGAAGACGTTTCACCTCGTAAGCCAAAACCTCTTTTCAAACAGAGGTGGTGGCTCACGGCACCAACTGCCATCCATAATCCAGTTTTGAGATCCCTTCCCAGGCGCCTTAATGCCCACTCACATCCTGGGCCTTATGACCTCTGGAAATCACATGATAGGGTGGCGCTTGGTTTCATAATGAGTTCACCCAAAAACTTGGCTGATTGTGACCTACACCCATTTTCACGCCTTGGCTCATGTGATTAGGTAGAGGATCATTAGGGGGTCCATTGTTCCTCCTGGGGGGACACTCCCATAGGGCTTAAATCTGGGACTCTCCACCATTTGACCTTAGAACTGAAGAAGCTTCTCGGATGACAGGTGAAACGTCTTAAAGCAACTTAAAGAAGACACTTTTCTTTTCAAGCTCCTTAGACTACTGAAGTAAAAATGGATTTCATCCTGAAATAAATGACTCCCCCTGAATTTGTTTCAGAATTGAAACAGTTTAAGGAGAACAATGGTAGATCTCCTGAATACACCATCACCATGTGCTTTGGAGAGAAGTTTCCAGATGGAAAACCGCTGGAGAAGAAGCTTATTGTAGTGAAGGTAACACCATCCCCCGAACCCTGCTTCACCTCAGTTATTCGATTTAATTAAATTTTGTTTTATTTTCTTACCAATAATTCATGAAAAAAGCACAGCTGGGTACTTACACTGTAAGACAGAGACTGAACAAAAATAACCCCAAAATTCCCTTTGAGGAAACACCTGGCAACACTTGGCTTTTGGCTGCCACCTGGTGTGGGCTGCCAACTGCCTCAACCAGTTAAAGTTAGAGGGAAGAGGATTTAAAACAGACTACACACAATATAATAATAAAACAACTGGCGTGTTGGGGAATCCAGTAATTGCAGATAAGACCATGCAGGGGCCGAATGACAGGTAACAGTGAAGAAGACTAGACTAAAGGTGCTCTGTGCATAATGGAATATGACCAGTCAGACCTTATAGTAATTAGGTTGTTTATTAGCATAAGTTATCCTGGTCATCCAGACCTTTCTCGCTTCATGGTATGCTTGTAGTTTAACTACCCCAGTTGTTTCAGTGGGTTTCATCTGCATAGAAAAATGTATCCAGCACTTTCAGTAGCAAAAGAACCAATCATTGATATGAAAAAAAAATTATATATAGAAATAAAGTGTATATACAAGTTTAAATCAAATGTAAGCTTAATTGCATAAAAGCAGAAGGGTGCATAGTATAGTTATAGTTAGAAGAAGTTTGGTGACAGAACGTTAGAGGCAATAGTTTAGACGTGCCGAGGAGGGATAGTGGATATACTGGACAAAGAATGTTGAATGTCGACTTGCCAAGTAGGACATGTTTTTCCTATAACTATTGTTGCTTATCATCAGCCGTCACTTTCAATGATTACTTTGTCATCAGCAGTTATGCAACTTTACCGTAAATCTTTCTCTCCATTTCTGCAGGTGGTACCTTTAATCTGTCGACATCTTCATGAGATAGCCCAGATGGAGGGAGCGTCGTCTCTTTACAGCTCCAACGTCAGCCTACAGATCTCACATAACAGCCTCTATGATCTCATCAGCTCCTGCTTTCCCTTGCTAACAGCTGAAGACCCGATGCGGGATGCTCCACTTTTCCCGAACCAGATTTGAAATTTGATCTTTCACTGACTTTTATTTGAAACCACTTTAATTTCCTATGGGGTAATGGGACACATTCTACACTAGGTTCTGAATCAGCTAAAACGTTGGCCGCTCAGCAGCTGAATGTGATTGTGTTATAGCTGCCAATACTGCCATGTGCCTGCTTTTCACTACATGAGGGGAAATGCCCCATCTACTGCTGTACTGTTACATTACTAACCTCAGTTTAAAAATCGCTTTAGAACTGTCCAATTGTCTTTCATCTAATGTATTGTTAAACTGATATCATTCTATATTAAATGAAATGAATGCTTATTATAATGGTAAATCCATTCTGACAAGCTAAGTTTATATTACTGATTACATATTTATAGAACTACTGTGTGTATGTTTGAAGATAATGATGTATGTGTATAGTAATATTTTTGTGTCATACTGCCACTGGCTATATATGAGAAACTGACCAGCTATTCTTCTTTTCATCTTGCACTTTTTATACTGAATAAACTGCCATTTCCATACCCTTTGCTGTATATGAGTTATGCGCAAAGGGTTATGTAAAATCTAAAATAGATTATTTTAAACTTGGTATAGTTTCATGTAAAGCTAAGACTGTGTTAATAAAATTTAAAAATAAAATAAAACTGCTAATGTTGAAAAATCCCTAAAACACAACTGTAAAAAACAGGACAGACTGTGAGTGAGTACTTGAAATAAACTAAGACAAACATCTCTTTGTCATCAGTGATTTATTATTTGATGTTTCCCTGTAGAAACACCTGGACTGATCAAGTAAATAGAGAAAAAAAACAAAACACATACATTCAGATAACATGAGCACCTATTTGTTAAATTCTTCCATTCCAAGTTCCTGGCTTTATACAGCACAATTAAAGATAATGACAAGGAAGTAGTACAAGGCAGGTCCAGCAACCTAATTAATCAGTGTTTATAGTCGACAAACTAGTAGAGATAACAGAGTGGAAATTTGCACCACATTCTTTGCAAAAATAACTGGGGTTTTCCACCTTTGCCACTGAGAAAAGTGTTGCCCTCACTCCTGAGTAAAAGCTATATTATTTACTATGGAATTGTATCCCTTGTCTAAAAACATAATACTGAAACAAATGAAATCTCACCTATGGATCTTGTATTCATTTTACTCCTTTGGCACAAAAAACTAATATTCTCTGGTTCTTTTAAAAAAATTATGGGTTTAAAAGGAGCTGAAGCTACAGCAAAGGAGAACAGTGAATATGACTATTCACTCCAAATTCACCTGCATTATGCTGAACTGAGTTCATTAGACATGGATATTAGAAATATGAATATGAAAAGAAGCGCTAAATTTAAAACATTAAACACAGTCAACTTGAACTAAAACAAATTTATGTCAATCATTCGCAACAGGCAACACGGATGAAAGGAACATACAGGTGAATGTATCAAATCTATATATTATATTTACAACCAAACCTAAAATTATTTTTAAGTCTACTGATAAATTTTCTACAAAAATTGCATAACCATGTGCTTTCTTAACATGTAATTTTCTTAAATATGCATATTCTTCATATTTTCCCGCTTCTCGTCTGACAAATTGAGTTTTGCCTATGATAAATACCCCTTCCCTCTCAAACAAACAAACAAAAGAAATACATAGAAAACTCAAACGCCACGCCACATTGTATCCTACCAGTGATATGCCGGTGGAGAAAGCTACCCGGTTTTTACCTCTATGGGATGGTCTTTGAGTTTTGCCTCTTTAAGGCACACTCTCAAAGTCTCCCATTAAGTTTCTCAGCTGTGTTACAAACGGAGAATAGTTCTTGGCAAGAGACACCAATAGGTACTGTTCAAATCATCAATGAATAAAGGTTGTGTTCAAAATACCATTAAGATAGAAATCTCAACATTATAGAAAATGTTCCATTTTGAAACTGTGAGCAAAGGTTGGTTGACCTTTTGCACTTGGTATGTTTAGAGTGTGATCACGCCCAATTCTAGGACATAGAATAATATAGCATAATATATGAATATGAAGTGAATATTGTGGGTGTAGTTGTCCCTGCCTATAGTTCCTGCCTCATCGTGGACTGTCAGAGGTTTTGGCTGCTTCAGCCTGGGTGTCTGGGGCTTTTCCTAAATCGTCTCCCTTTTTATGTTTCCTAGCATGTTTATATTTGTCCACATATGCCTTAACCAGATTTCCAACTTTCACTGGGTTGATTTCTCCACTCTTGCTGTGGCACACCTGAGAAAAAGATCATTTCAAATTGTTAAAAGAGACACTGAGAAACTCCTGAGTCACACCTTAAAAAAAACTGTTTAAGCAAATAAAGAATTAAAAAGAATTTCATCATCATCATATTTTTCTAACCCACCTTCTGGACAGCTTTGCGAAGAATCTCCTTGTATTCATCCTTGTTGATATCTCTCCTTTGGTAGAAAGGTTTGATAGCTAGCTTAACTTCTTCTATCGCTCTCTCTTGCATGTGCAGTTTTTTCAAATACTGTTAGGAGAAATAGAATCATAATTCATGCAGTGACATAATTTTTTCCACACGTTCATTTTGAAACTAACATTTGTGCATGCTTTTGCTTTCATTCGAACTTCAAATTCTTTGACAAATTTGTTCTTCAGTATAGGAAAATGTGTGAAAATTAATTGCACAAATGTTCCCTGCAGCATGGAACATTTGTGCAATTAAATTTCACACATTTTCCAAAGTGTTATCCAAGCAAGCCCAAACATGAAGCATGGTGTCACAATCTTTCTCTCTCTTTTGAATTTGGGGGGCTGGCCAGAGAAGTGATTTTGCACAACATAAGGTGAAGCTGAACGTTGACATTTCCTGCAAATAAAAGGCTACCATGTCTTCCCTTCATTTTGTTAGGCACTTTTTTAATAATTACAGTTCGAAATAATAATAATGATGAAAAAGAAGAGAAAGAAACAGCTTTATGAAGTTACAGGGACCGTAACCTTTTACAGTTAACATGCAATTAGTTCATCCATGTATCTCAGTTATCTGAAAAAATTCCCATACAGCCTTCCTGGGATAAAGTTAATGGGAATGGCCCAGACCAGACCAGCCCCCCGCCAAAAAACAAAACAAAAAAACAACCAACAAATTCAGTCTGCAGGGGCATAACATGAAGGTAAAAGTTATAATCAAATATTTATTTAAGCTGAAAATGCATTTCTATTCACCTTGTCTTTCCTTGATAAATCTCCTTCTTCTGCCTCTCCTTGTGCAGTGGCCGATAACTCCCCAGAATGAAGACCATCAGATTTAGAGGAAGTACTGAGAAGACCATCAGCACACTTCTTGGAGGGGTCACTAACAGCTGCAGTAATATCCTGTAAAAGTCAAGGGAGATTACACAGTGACCACCACCTACAAAAATTCAAAATATTCCATCATATAAACACACAGAAAATTGTGGTCATGAATTTAAAATCAAGTCACACTCCAAATGCACAATTATTTAAAATTCAATTTGTACACATTTGTCCTATACTTAACAACCTGTGTTTTATTGTGTGTCTATACAAATAATTACTAACACTGATGGGTCTAAAACAATACTGTTGTGTCTCTTACAGATACTTGTATGGGGACACAGTTTATAAGTACTGCTTACATGCACAGTTCTACTTTCAGTTACTCTGAAATGGCTTTGGTATCAGTTTCACTTTCTATCACATGTCTCTATAAAAACACCAAACTTGCTTCTTCTGGATAAACACTGCCACCTTCCTACGAATATTGCCATTACATAAGAAATAGCACATGCAAAAAATATCTGGTAAATACTGCAGTGGCAAGTAGCTCAGACCTACCTGACTGGATGCCTGGACTGTCAAAGAAGGTCTGCGAGCCCCTTCCTGCTTTAGCTTCAGTTTATATAGAGCAAGTTCTGTGCAAGGGGGCGAAAAGGAAAGCACAAAAACACACAATTAGCAACATAAGATACACAACACACCTCGGATCTCGGCACATCTTTATACTTGTACTGTAAAACATTAGTTCTGCATGTCTTATGGTAAAAAAAATAAAATAAATATTATTTATTTACATATTAAAAATCTTTGCTTAAAGACTAGAAAAAGCTGCTAGAAACAGTGTTCAGAGCAGTTTGAAGCTTGAGTTTTCAGTTTATAGGGAACAGTTGTATCCAGGCTATATTGAACAGCAATCACTTCTAAAGACATTTAAAAATAATGAAGTGACTTAAATAAAAACACATTAGTTAGCATGATATAGTAAAGTAACAATATACCACTTACTGCTCGCAGACTTCTCTGGTTGCGGACCCTCAGGCTCCTGTATATTCCAGGTAACACGCTTCACTTGTGTTTTGGATGTTTTTGCTCCTGCTTTTGTTGATATCTGCTGTACCTCATTCTTTCTGGCCACTACTTCTTTCTCTTGTATGACAGCTGCACCACTACTCTCTGTGTGCTCAGATTTCACGTAATCCAAGGTGTCTAGCATCACATCAATATTAAAGTCATCATCAGAGTCTGAAGGCTGCTGAACTTCCAGTTTTACAGGGACAGTCAATTCAGTGTTCTGATGTTTGGCCACGGCCAACGGCTGAGTTTCAGAGACTGTGTCCTGGTGGCTTTCGTCTGCAACAGGCGGGGTCAGCGTAGAAAAGGAAGTATCGGGGGGTAAGCTGGATACACAGACTGGCTCTGATTTAACAATTGGAATTTCGCACGTCTCGGTCTTAACGGGGACTTCGATATCCTCTTTGCTTACTGCCAAAGAACAAGTGTCTGTTTCCTCTTTCTTAATCGATATACTAATAGGATTATCTTCAAACATGCCAACCGATGCCTGTTTTTCTTTCTTAATTTCTTTTCTATCCTTTGCTTCTTTTGTACTTTCTGTAGTTTTGAACTGGCTCTCTGCACTGAGGACTTTGTCCGACTTTTTTACTTTAGAGGTGAAAGAAGAGGATGGACCCTCCTTTTTATTCAGATTGGCTTCAACTTTTTCATCTTTACTGTAGCTTTGAGAAACATCTTTCTCTTTTTTCTTGTCTTGCAACCTCTTTGCGTCTTTAGAGGATGAAAGAGAAGTTTGGTGTGAGCTTTTGGATGATCTTTCTTCTTTCCTTTTCTCTCTTGAACTGGATCTAGACCTGTTTCTCCTCTTCTCTTTAGATCGTGACTCCACCTTGTCTCTTGAAGAGAGAGACAAATGTTTGCTGTGTTCTCTCCTCCTCTCCCTGGATCTGGACCGGGATTTTGACCGACCGTGCTTACGGTCCTTTGATCTAGATCGGGTTCTGGACCTGGAACGTGAATTGGACTGGGACTTTGACCGAGACCGAGACCGACCACGTCTTTTGTCTTTTGAAACTCGTCGTCTTTCGTGGTCCCTCTCTTTGTCATCACTTCTCTCCTTGCTCCTTCGTTTATGCTTCTTCCTTGTTGAATGGTCTCTACTGCTGGAGCTGGAAGCAGACCTAAAATGTCCACAATTATAAATCATTCCAGTGAAGGTCAAAATAAAACACAGCATCACTGCCTAATTAGTATAAAGTATATTTGAAAAACTGTTATATATTTACCTGGATCGCCGCCTTCTCCTTTCATCTTTTGATCGTGACCTGGACCGCCGTCTCTTTCTGTGAGTCCTATCAGGGGAATTGGGTTGAGAACTGTCTGAGCTTGAGTGTGCCCTATTCCTCTCTCTAGACCGTGATTGCCTGGAACTCCTTTCTTTCTCCTCACGGTCTACTTCTTTTTGCTTTGTGACATGGCCTGAACCATGCTGATCTCCTCTCCTGCCTCTGTCTGTCTCAGATCCACTGGAGGACTGCTCCTTCAAAGCTTTGGAGCTTTTCTTCTTATAGTCCAAATCTCTTGAAGGGGACTTTGAGCATGACATAACATGTGATTTAGTTTCTTCCTTTTGTTTCCTCTTGACAGTTGTAGAGTTATCCACTGATGAATCTTCCTTATCCTTTGAGAGAGATCTGCTGGGAGTTCCAGCACGTTGTCCACTCTTTGCCTCTTGAGTCTCTCTCTCAGTCTTTACAAGATCCAGAGTTTGATCAGCAGGCGGTGTGGTGTCTGTGGTCTCTGAATTAAAAAATCTGTCACCACTGATTTCAGATTCACCTGCATTTTCACAAGGTTCTTTCTTGACTTTGTCAAGTGATACAGTTTGTTCTTCAGTCTTTATGCCTGATAGTCTTGATTCATTTTCAACCTTTACAATGTCCTCCAAGAGTCTGGCCCCAGATGTGGTTTCCTGAGCCATCCCTGGTCCTTCCTGTGTGACCTCAATCTCTGATGTTTCAGTCTTCACCTGTACCAGGTCCTGCTCATTTTGCATTATAGTCTCATTGTTACTTAGACTAGGAGGCTTCCTGTCAAGTGTTACATACTGAGAAGTGCCATCTGGGCTTGTGCCCTCCGTTTCGTCACCTGAGCTGCTTGAATCTGACAGAGTAGGATTAAAGGGATCATATATATTATCTTGCTCCTTACTACCCAGACTACGTGATGCCAAAAGCATTTGTTTATCCCTGTCCAATTGTCTCTTTTTAGCTTCATCATCCTTTTTCCTCCAGTGTTCCTGGAAGGTGCCTACACTAGAAGAGGATGATGCAATGCCTAGCCGCCTTGATTGCCATGGGTTCCCACTAGAGTTGATGCGGAAGCTCACTGATGATGACGACGATGATGACGATGATGACGATGATGACGATGAGGAGGAGGCATATCGTGGCTGGCCGGCAGGACACCCAGCGGACGAGGATGAAGAGAATGAATTAGAGAAAGCTGAAGATGAGCTACCTCCATCAGGCCTGTGCCTTGGGGCCTGACCGTCAGCCCGGCCCCTTTGCCGGTCTACACTTTGCTGCCTTCCTTTGTCCCCAGAAAGATTATTCATGCCCGTTTCAGGCATGCCATAACCATTACTATTAGGGGTGGATCTCCTACCCTGACCCCTGCTGCTACTAACTTCATGACTGCCATCTTGACTAGTGCCATCATTTGTCATGCCACTACTTTCCCTTTTTATTTTTGGTATTCTAGGAAGTTCTGACACATCTACCCACATGGGTTTTGTAGGTGCCTTTTTAGATTGGCTTTGTGATGGGATCATTCCCTTGCTTTTGGAGCTTGACTCTGCAGTTGGACAGACAGATGACAAGCCTTCCCTAGGGACTCCAAATCCATTGCTTACACGGTGATTAGAGGGTGTGGGTCTGTTTGGACGAGGTGGATGCAAACCTGGATGCCCTCTGAGATCAGAATGGAGAGGTGTTTGTGTGTGGCTAGTTGAAGAAGCTGCTAAAGGAGGTAACCGAGTTGAGCTCTGGGACAATGGTGTGCTCACAGAGGCACAGGAGGGCCCTGGTTGATCTCTGTTGTAGTTCACAGACACAGAAGTGTCTCCTAGACCTGCTGACATCCCTGGGCTGTTTGCATCTCCAGAGCTACTGCTTTTTCTACTGCCAGGTATTAATGGAGATGGCATCACTGTAACAGAAGAAAGGAAAAAAAAACAAACTTTAGTTTTCTTGCTAAAATTAAATTTAAGCATCTTAAGGTTTATCATGGTACTTTTTAAAAATATGGACCTCTGCTATGAGGTATCAGGCTATTCTAACTAGAACTGCAATTAAGCTAAGGCAGATCTAGTACATGTGCCGCTAGCTCACCATGGCTGCAAAGAACAACAAAGTATACTATCTCACAGCAGAAGCAGATACTAAACTGCCTGTTCACTTGGCAAAAAATAATTATAACTTAATGTTGCAGTAAAATATAAACAGTAGTATTTAAGAACAAATGCGTGCACCCCGAATGTAAATGTGTGGGATATACTGCACACAGCTAGAAAATACAAGTACACACAATATAAATGCATTTCATAGTCTGGATATGTGACACAAAAATGTATTACATACACCTACTTGGTTTGGTAGCTTTAAGCGAACCATCTCGATTAATGACAACATCAGAACTGTCCATCAAGAGCATGCTCTGTCCTGATAGGATGCTGCCCAGCAGATCAGGTACAGGAGCTGCCTCCACAACACCTCCTGATGGGTGGACATCCATACCCCTCCTGGTATAGCATAGCAAACCTTCAATAAGATTTGTGAAGTATTTACGGATATAAATCAAACGTAACGTTTGTAGATTCATATGTGCATTACAGAATGTATAGGATAAAGGTCTAATCATCTCTTAGTTTACTCAGATTGCACAGAGTGTATATTTGTTAATAATTTGAATCATTTTGGATAAGGATAAGTGTAAGATAATGGGGAATTTCAGTTTTTACTTTATAATTTGTTCAGCGTAAGATTACAGTTAAATTGTATTTTTTCTTGCCTTATTTAATTTTTATGTACTGTTCCTTTAACACACGGTAACGGTGCACGGGGGGAGCGTTCGCAACGGGCAGTATGGAGCTACGGGGGCTTTAACTAGCTGTGGAGAAAAACAGTTTCTTACCGTGTTTGCAGTGTACAGGAACATTCAAATGGATCACTGTATTTCAAAACTGTGGAAATACATGTTTGCCTGTTTGTTTTTCGACTACAAGCGGACTTTGTGGATTATGTTCAACTGCACTAAGACACGCGTACGGCCCGACTACCAGCTAGTGCTTCCGCGGTAATAGATATGTTTTAATGTTCACCAGAAATTTCAAGCTTTAAAAAAATGGCAAGTTTTCATCTCCTATCTGGAGCAGATTTAATATTCTATAACTACAATCAAGGGTGAAAAATGGTCACAACAGATGCGACAGACAGGTGAATCGTTCTAGACATTTGCATGTTATGTTCAAAAACCACAATCAACATAAAAGTAGCTGTCGGGCGTGGCCATTCATTCTTTTGAGGTAAAGTTTTTCCTTACCTTTTCAGCCATTTCCATCTTAATTTCTAAGGTTTACAATTACAAGCCGCTATCATTGATATTAACTGCCTGAACTGTACCAAAATGTTGAAAGTCATGTTTTTCCTCCTATAGTGACCAACTGAATGTGTAGTTTTAAACACGGCTCAAAATCATATTTAGGAGTAATTTAATAGTAATTAAGGTATTTATGCTCATGGTTTTTAGGTAGATTAACTTCTACCATTAACAGAAAAAAAAGATATGCATACCAATTGACGTAAACAGCTGATAATTGACTGTGTGCACATTAGCATATGCTACTTCCGGTGCAGAAACTCCTGTGGGGAGCTTTGTTTCCGGTGTCCTATTCGCGCCTGGTTTATGGTCCAAAACAAGTTAAGCAAATGAATGAATCAAGCGGCGATTTACATTTCTATAGATGTCT